AGAGAGAGTAGAAAGGAAAGAAGCACTTAACTCTTGCTCTAATGGCCTGTAGTGGTGGAAGTGCAAGGGCTCGAAACTGATAGAAGACGGATGGCTGTAGCCTGTTAATAATGTAAGATGTTTTTTTATTCAGATTTTTCTACGGACTGAGAGCTAGAAAGCAGAATGAAACATGACTTTCTGTTGTCATTGAGAGAGATCATTCTGGATTTAGAATATAATATGAAATATTTGGAAAGAAAGATCCAATTCTCTGTTCTTGTATTATGTCTTTGAGCCTGGTGTGTTGTACTGTGAATCACTCGGAAGTGGGACTGGGTGACTGTCAGTGGGATTGTAATCACAATACTATGTGATGTGATATTATTGGTTCTATACATTTATAAATAATGATTCTGATTTAGTTGTAATTAAATAGTAACAAAATACATTATTCTTTGAGTTACGAATTTGTGTTTTACACTTGAAGAATTTAGTCTCAGTCCCTGAAAACTTGGTTTGAAGCCATAATCATGATATATGACTAAATAAGCAACGATCAAATTTAACGTTAAACATTTTTAGGTTGGTTTTTTTTTCACAAACACTCACACACTCAAGTCTTATCAAAGAGTGATCTGGCATCACATTCTTCCAACTGGGCCCTGCCAACTTCAAAACACTGAGAGAAAAAATGCAGAAATAGGTCGTGTGAAGTCAAAACTGTCCAGAATTTGGCAGGAAATTGTGTTCAGTTCAGATCTCATTGCTCATATTAACTCAGTAATATAGAGAATAGGATTTCTGAGCCTTTGAACATATGTTTTACTTTTTTTAAAATTTCTTGTGATTTAGCATATCTATAAATATTGTTCATTGTTCATTAGGATCCCTGTTAGTTATTACTGTAGTACTACTCTTCCTGGGGTCCATATTCAAATATACATCAAAATGAACAAATATTTGTCAACCCAATAGGATTACATCACTTGTTTGCTTGTTTCCATCATAAGCCTGTCTTCAAAAATAACTTTTAGTTGTTTCTTTAAACCTTTTTTTCTAGTTTATTGAAATTTAAAGTATTGGGACTCTGTTCCAATGAGGCCCTATACATAACTGGTGTATTGTGTTGTTGATTTCAACAATATTGTGCATTTCTACCTGAAATGGTTGGTTTTATGTCTCACTCACATATTGATGAAAATGCAGATTAGAAGAATTCATATTGTAAGTAAAATTGTAGATGAGTAGATCTAGAGACTGTTTTCGTTCTGGCTCATTGATAATTTGAATGTGTATGACTAAAAAATCTCATTTCATCATTTCCCCTCTTCCCTTCTTTCCCTTCGTTCATCTTTCCCCCACTCCCGTCCTCCCATGTTCCTCTCTCCTCAGACGAGGCGCGCTCCAAAAAGTGCGGCATCCTGGTGCACTGTCTGGCCGGGATCAGCCGCTCGGTGACGGTCACGGTGGCCTACCTGATGCAGAAGCTCAACCTGTCGCTCAACGACGCGTACGACTTCGTCAAGCGGAAAAAGTCCAACATTTCCCCCAACTTCAACTTCATGGGCCAGCTCCTGGACTTTGAGCGAACGCTGGGCCTCAACAGCCCCTGCGACAACCGCTCGACCTCCCCAACACACGACCAGCTCTTCTTCACCACCCCGACCAATCACAATGTGTTTCAACTGGACACGCTGGAGTCCACATGAAATTTAGACGGGGGGATTGTCCCTTTTTTAAGGGGGGTCAAGGTGGTGTTGTTACCATGGTAACAAGCGGCTGAACTGGAGGGAAGCAGCCAGTTTTAATGAATGTTTTAAGGCTCCCGGTGGCTCGTTGTCTGAGAGCCTGACCACGGAGCAGCGTTGGAGGGTTAGGGGAGCTCACAGATGCCACGTTAAAAGGGGGAAAAGGTAGTTTTTTTTTAACCCAGAAGTGGGAACTGACAAACGGGTTTTACGGTGGCGTCTTCCTCGGAGTTGATTGAAATCGAGGGAGGAAAAAAGCCCTGATCAACTTGTCTTTTAACAGAGAACCAAGGAGACTTTACTGACTGAGAAACTGAGTGAAGGCGGCAGCAGGACAGACAGCTTCATACAAAGATAGGAACATGGAAAAATCTACAGCGCTAGATTTATGAGACAACAACATCCTCTCTGTCTTTCTGTCTCGGCTCTCGAGCTGAGCTGACTGGTGCCAAGTGGAGAATCTGGGATTTACTTGTAGAAAATCTCGCTCTACTGAATGTAGAGTTTTATAAACCAAGGAATTAACACACACACACACACACACACACACACACATAAACAAAGTATGTATGTTTGTACTGTATGTACTGTATGTATGTTAACGTACATAGCAGAACATGTATGGGCAGTCCTTAACAAATTCAGTATGTCTATATGCATTTTTGTATATTTTTGTGTACATTTACGCACAAATCTATACCTTATATAAATATATACGCATAGAAATCTTATCTATCCAATCCAATAATGGCTTAAGAGAATGTAAAACTAAAGAAGGGGAATGGGTGTGGTGACGCCATCAAAGAGGAACGTTGTTGTGATATTCCGAGTTGTCTTCTTTTTTTTCTTTTCTATTTTTTTGTTTTGTTTCATTTTTCTTTCAGGTTTGTAATGACCTAATGCAGTTTGCACAGTGGTGTAGCCATTGACTTGTTGGCACTTGGAGCCAATGCTTGGAAGCAGGCAGATAAAGAGACATTCAGAGAAGAGGAGCGGTGAGGAGAGGCCAGTCCCAGGCTGCGACGAGTCCCAACAGCTGCACAGTGGAGTGGGGAGGGAGCAGGAACTGGGCCCCCAAGCAAAGGACGAGGTTCAGAGGGTTAAAGGGTTAGGACTAGGGCATGGGGTTAGGAATTATCAGTTGAATCGTGGTTGGGTAGATTTGATGTTTGTCAAACTGCTGTTGCACTTCCCAGTTCCTACTTCCTTCACTATATGACTGTTCATTCAGTTTCCACCAGCTGTTTTGATTATTTTAGTCGATGTTATTTCATTTCAGTCAAAAACTCTGAACTTCCTCAGTTGTTTCATCACAGCATCTAACGGCTCTGACTTTTGTACTTGGAGGCAGAGACTTGAATGAGAGATCAGCGTTGGTGTTAGGGGATGCTAAGGCACTGTTAACATTTCTGAGCAACGTTTTAGGCAGCTTATCTTAGCAACCATGGGCAAGGAAGTGCCTCAACAATCTTGTATTACCTTCTTTTTGCCTAAGAGGAAATTATTCAATTTGTTGTCCTATCTTTGGTCCCTTTTAAGACCCAGGTACAAATTTGCCAAACAAAAAAAAAGGATTCTCAGATAAGGGACTGTGATTGTAACCTGGTCTTGGTGTTTTGGACTGGGACTGGCCTCAGCTACAAACTGCACTTAGCTACTTAAATAGCTTCACAACCCCTTAACTGCATTGGGGAAAACCGAAGGAAAGGGATCACCCATTTCGTCAAAGTAAAGTTTGTCTGAGTTGATTCACCCTTAAGCCTTGGGTATATTATTATATGAAAGATATATTAAACACAAATTGATATAAATATATATATTATAGAGCTAATAGTAAAGATTATTTTGTATACCTGAGCATGCTATGGTGCTGTATGCTCTCTAACAGTAGACATAACCACGGGTTGGATGTTGATTTACCGGGAAGGAAGACGAACGATGGGGACCGTTTTTTTAACTGCTGTTGCTGCTGAACACAAGCAGTAAACAGCGTGTGGTTAAGGAGTTTTCTGAGACCCTGTTCACATGTGAAGCACCTTAACAAGAAAGCATTCTGCTGCAGTCATTGGCCGTTTAAAGTAGGGTTCCTCTGATGAGTGGAACAACACTGCAGCACTTATGGCAATGTCTGTAGCTACATTAGGCCTCATGCAAGAACACTCTTGTATTCTCATCCTCAATCTCTTTGGCTTTTATCTGCTCGTACGAGTGTTCAAACTCAGTCTGTAATTGCACAAACATGTCGTAAATCATTCTTTTCCACCCAATGAATGCCACCTCTTCATAAGTACGTGAACATTCAGGAGTTGTGATCATTAGCATAATCAGTGCTCCACAATTGCTATAAAAGCCTACCTGTTCTGCTCAATTCAAGGGTACCTTTCATTCACAAAAATGTGACTAAAAAGAGTAAAAAGCTGAATGAAAATTTTAATATAGCTGTTCAGTGATGGACATAAAGAAGGAATGGTTTGATATGTAATCAAACCACTGATTTTTAAAGGTGAGGTGGTCAATATAGGGAAAAACCATGTTGGTTTGTGTTGCGGTTTTATTCAAGGTTATAAATGTTAGCAGACATTGGGAACGTATTTAACTCCAAATTGATAAAGCCCTATAGTCAAACAAGTATTTTTAAACTGGAGAAAGTAGTCCAGCACTATACCATTTTAATATCAGGAGTACCTGTACACTGGAATCACAGCTCCTTTTTTAGTTTTATTAGTGATGTTTCAGCCAACTGCAGATCTTCCTCAGGCCTGTGGTTGGTCTGAGGCTACTTCAACTGAAAGACACTTAAGAACAAATCTTTGTATGAGCGTTTCTTGCATGATGCCCAATATTCACAGCAAACTACAGATCAATGGTGTCAAAGTGGTGATGTGGACGGGGTCTAGACAGAAACAAAGAACTGGGTTTCAGAGGGGGCAGCAGTTGAATCTGAACAGGGTTGGTTTTAGCTGGCCTTATATTATCTTTCTAACTTGTTTCTAATGCTGACTGTTCAATACTCTTTGTATCTCACTTGTGTAAAAAAAGAAAGAAAAAATTAAATGTTTGTTTTATCTGTTATTTGAATCAGAACATGGTAATAAAAGACAGCGAGCTGTCTATTTACCGTAACGGGTCACACGAGGTCCTCTTTGTTACTCTGCAATATATCAAAACACCTTTTTGCAGTATTTTGTAGATCCAAGACCTCAACATTTTTAAAATCTTCTTCTTTTGTACTATATCTATTCTATATAATTATACAAGATCCAGCTCGATATGGCTTGTGGACTGAAGTAACATTTCACCTGGGGTGTCCAAAATGTAGGGCCGGTGTGCCCGTTACCAACGTGAAAGAGGCCCTCACTAACACACACACACACACACTGCTTCACATAGTCAGAGCTGTGGTTCAGCATGCCAGTTATGTTTCACAATAGACGATTACACCACCCGGCTTTAATAATTACAAGGTCTTTTTCCGTCTTGTTTTGATATAATGTGCTCTATGCTATTCCTGTGGCCTTTCAATATGAATATATATCTAAGTATATATATGTTATGAATTTATATGCAAAAGTTCCTCTCATATTATAGCATCAGAGATAAAGATAATACCACCATGCTTGAATGGACTTCCCTTGTCTGTAGTCATATCCCACTTACAATAAGAAAAACGTTGAGGACTTGATCTCTTGCACCCTAGGATTGAAATATATTTCAGTACGGAGGTTTTCTATTTAAAAGAATATGGTTGATTTCAAGCTGCTTTCTTGTGGTTTTTTTTGTGTCTTTGTAACAATGAAAGAGAAATCAAGTCTTTTTCTCTGTTTGTAAATTTGCCAGATCACGGGAACGGCCGTTTCTGTGTCCTTAAACTTGTAGCTACATCTCGGTGAGAATGTGCTCGGGAGGGAAAGACGTGAATGAGCGAGAGCAGAGGAGAGGTGGCGACGTTAAATACAAAGTGAAAGAAAAAGTGAATGATTTTAAAAATGTTACCTCAGTGAGGAATTTTTCAGGGATTTTTTTGACAATGCATCTTGCATCGTGTTACAGCTTCAAACACACGTTGAATAGCTGTTTTGTATTGTGCTGTAAACCGTTTTTAAAAAAGATGCAATCTGTCTGTGTATAAAAACAAGGGGCATGTTAACCGGGGCAGTTTCACCTTTCTGTCTATTGAAGGAAATACGATTGACCCTGTGTATTGTACAGTATATGGAAACAACACAAGACATGTTTATACCGCAAATAAATATTGAAATATTTTTTTCTTTAACACGTGTTTTCTTTTTTTATTTCTTGCCACAAAACTACAGCAAAATCACTTTTAAGTAGTAATTACAATGAGTACAGAAGAATTATATTGACCAACATATTGACAGTATTTGTTGTACTGTAAGGCAATGGTTCCCAGCCTGAGGGCCGTGACCACACGATCGATCTGATGGGTCACGAGGTGATTAACATTAGCATTTGTAATCACTATAAAAACGTTTAGTAACTGGTTTACAACACACTGTAATGTAGTTGTAAACTGCTATAAGGACATTAGGTGTCTGTTAATGTACACTTTTTGTCAACAAATATAACATCCCTTATATTATTACTGTATTGTACTCTATTGTCATTAGCTTTTTGTAGGAGGAGTTATAGTTGTTGACAAAAACATTAACAAACACTTACAATTAGACTGTAGTGTGTTATAAGCCTTTCCGTCAAAGACTGAACACTGTAACAACTGTTTTTTTTTTTGGTTTTGCTATGCCTAAGACTTCCCTTCATCTTGTTCCACAGTCACACACACACACACACACACACACACACACATACACAGGGTTTGTCTTGTTGCGTCTTTGCTGTGGTTTTAAGGTTTGTGACAGTTACATATCCGATTGCTTAAACTGAAACTCTGCCACTTCCCTTTGTATGCCATTGTGCGTTTTTTGTGTGCAGTGAATAAGGAACTTGTTTGTTTACCATAAACTAGATAAACACAACCCAGTGCAGCCACTTTGATCGCAATCGAAACCTGTTTATTGTTGCTGTTACCACATATTTGCATTTCAGCACATTATTACAGAAACAGTTCTACTTTTCGGAAAATATGCATATGCACTTTCTTGCCGAGAGTTAGATTGATACCACTCATTTATCTGTATGATACACACAATGAGCTGGAGCCAGCAGCCGGTTAGCTTAGCTTAGCATAAAGACTGTAAACGGGGGGAGCCGCTCGCCTGGCTCAGTCATCACAAATTACCACATTATCGTCTGTTTAATATATATAAAAACCAAGTGTAAAAAGGACAAGATGTGGTTTTATAGGGCATTACATGCCTCTGCTGGTTGCCTGGCAACCGCTCTAGAAAAAATAAAAATAAACAAACAAGATAAAATGTGTTAACTGAGAGCTTTAGAGGTTCTGCTAGGTATTTTGATACCTTTAGACGTAGCCAGGCTAGCTGTTTCCCCCTGTTTACAGTCATTATGCTAAGCTAAGCTCACCGTCTGCTGGCTCTCTTCATACCGTATTCATCATCCATATATGTGAATGGTACCTTTCAGCAAGAAAACAAATAAGCATAAGCACATAATAATTTTTGTGGTAATATATAACAGCATAAGGTTGTTTTATTCTGTATACTGGCAGTAACAACTTTCGCCTAACTGTGTGTCCATTAACTGTGCTCCCACATAACCTAAAATGCCTTTTCTATCTCAATTAGCGGGTAATAATGGCACATGTGCATATGAAAGCTGACAGTGAGGGAGAGAGAAAGAGAGAAGGAGGGTTGGTGGAAATAAAAAGAGCATCTTAAAGACAGCGCTGTGAGCTGAGCTGAGCCGGCTATAAATATCTCCCCCTCTTCTCTCCTCATCTCCTCAGTGTTGCCCTCGCTTCTCTTCCATTCCTCTACAACGACTCCTCTTCATTTTTTTTACGACTTCCTCCACCGTTGCACCATCAAGTGAGCCTCGTGGTAATTCCGACAGGATATTACAGTGACGGCGGAGGTGAAATAAGGGAAATGAAGGCCCCACCCTGTTTGAAGAGATGGGGGACAGGATGATAGACATTACCAACTGATTACTCTCTGGTCTCCTGACAACATGATGACAGGTTTTCCCACATGCCCATCAACACCATGACAGTTCATGTAACAGGAAATGTTCCTGCTCTAACTTGAAGTAATTAAAGCTCAGAGTTTATCATGAAGTGGGATGACTGAAGCACTTCTGTGGGCTTAAAAACATGTTTCACACTGCTCGCTGGTATCCAGAAAGGTGCATGTTGCTGTTCACAAGCTGACAGATAATTTTAGCTCCAACAAGTTCTGTTACCTCATAAAGTATTGTGTCTTGGGGTGGGTTTTGGGCAAGGGCCAGGTTCAATTCTGGTTATTTCCAAATGTATCTCTTTCTCTATCTGTCCGTGCCAGTCATTTACGTACATGCATGTTATGAAATGCAAGTAAATTCAATTTCCAGTAGGAAGAGCTACAGTAAGTAAAAATAGACCAGCCAATGTGTTGCATTGGCTTGACAAATATAGAAAAATAGGAAAAATATAGCATTGAGGCCTGGGCAGGTTTCAGATTTGGCTCCCAGAGGAAGCTGGGCAAAGTCTGACAAATTGCCTCAAGTTGTCACTTGAGTCAGCATCAGTTGAGTCTGAAGACTACGAGTTTAAAAAGGGAAAAATCTGTTGTAAATTGAGTTTTTAAAAAAGTTGCATTGTGGGTAATATAGGCACCAGGTTTTCACAAGAAAGAAGATTGCATTGAATTATAATAAGACAATATTTGATTCTACTCTATTGATTTTGGTCCTCTGTGAGTCTTACAATGTTATACGATGGCAAAGCTAAATAAAAATCAAAAATGCAGTTTCAGGTATCAAATTTGGCAGAAGTAGTCAGGTTCAGCCGTAGATACATCTTTAAGATGAAGGAATACTTTTGGTCTCTGTTGCAGAACCAACACTTTTCTCCAATACTGCCACATTGTTCCCTATTGTTTAAAACATTAAGAGAAATGAGAGAAATTTAGAGAGATTATTTACACTTCCGCTCATGATAATGCATGTACAACTGCAGTGACAGTGAGTTCAAGTTACCTCAGAGAGGGAAGTTGGGTGCTATAATTAAATAAATAAAACATGTTGGCAGCGGAAAAAAGCAATCCTCTCTGTATCAGTCTATGACCTGTACACAATAGCTGTAAAACAAGATAACACAACTAACACTGCTGATAGTCAAAATCAGTCATCAATCAAGTGATGTCAACACTTTGTCCAGTGAGTGTTGGCACCTGCAGTTTCTCTACTAGAATATTCTACTGGAGAAGAAATTGTGTGACATTTTTGCAGTCTTGAAAACACTAAATAGGTGTACGTTAGTGCCATAATTTTTGTGATCTTCTCAATGTAAGATGCTGTCATTATGCTCCCCTGAATGCAGCACAGACTTATTTCAGTAATGGCCCATCCGCCATCTTCTTTTAATGAGATTCTCCTCATGCTCTCTGTCTGACTGACAGAACTGAAACTGGTGCAGATAAATTACATCTGACACAGCCATGACATGACAAACAGAAGCGCTCAGGTCTCTCTACATTTCCGAAAGCGCCACTGTTGCCGGCTCCTTTAATGGGCTCAAATAATTACAGTAAATAGCTGCTACGACTGCTGCTGCTGCAGTACTTAGGCGAGCACTGTCCTCCCACTGTGAGTGGTACTGTACTGTGATGCACTGTACTGCTCTCTCTGCTCTGTTATATAAAGAACCAGTGCAGCACTCTCTTCAGCAACGCACCACTTCAAGAGCATAATGAGAGGGGATCTGGGAGGGAGAGGAAGTGGAGGGAGGGAGGATGTGAGGCGCGAGGGAGGGAGAGGAAAGAGAAATGTTCATGTTTGATCATGTTGAGACCTGCATACCTGTAAAATGGAAACTTTAAAACAGTTAGGAAATCAGACAATGCTGGCAAGCAGAGACATGCAGCTGTTTCAGCTACAGGACTTATTACTTATACATTACAATACATTAGTACATACAATGTATAAAATGTCCCAATTCACACACTGTCCTTGCATATGGGGTCTCCTACATGTATAACAAGAGTCAGTCTAATTGTGGGTTCACAAATTGTGAATGTTTTAGTACAGGAGCAATGGGTCTCTGTCAATTGATTCTCCCAGGACACAAATGTATTTATTCAATTCTAAAGTAGAAAATAAGAGATAGAAAGAAAACAATGAGGGACAGAGAAAAGTGAGACGAAACATAGAGGGGCATTTATAAAAGCGGAATTAAACATGAACCCAAATAATGTCAATGTGGTTACTTGCAGTGTAGCTGCAGATTACAACTCACTGGCTTCATGCGAAAAAAGTGAACAGCCCCTTTTAGAGCCATGTGTTTACAAATGTAACTAGTTTAGTGTGGACGTACTCTAACTTTAAACTCGGGCCCAGAAACAGGACATGATGTCACGTCTCTGATGAGGCCATAAATAAATATTGATTGAATATTGAATATTACAAACTGTAAACGGTGTATGAAAGTGACACTAGAGTTTGTGTAATAATTGTAAAAAACTGTGAAGAAACACGTTAGAATAATTATTGGTGTTTCTATTGGCTGACCGAACACATCCACTATGTCAAAGTTGAACAAAGGTGAACTCTGACACACACTCAATCTTACAGGCTTTAATAGAAGTGTAATGTGACCTTTCCTTCAGACCAACAGGCCAGCCTTTATCAGTGGTGAGAACTTTAAGAGGAACTTGTTTAAGACAGTAAACAATACGAACTATAAGAGCATTGGCTCATAGGCCAACTTTATAGAGCCATTCTCAAGAGTACAGTTTGTACATCTTCAGTCAAACATAACGGCCACAAATTACAGTCATTTGCACGTCTTTAACCATAAAGCGGGGGAAAGCAGTAAAATCAGCTGTGTGTGAAGCTGAGTGCACTTGCAGGTCAGAGGCACATTGTTACGAAAGATACACCTCATCAGTTCACCTGGGTTTCCGGCTGGCTCGTTAAACACGCGCCTGAACGAACTTTGAACACAACAAATCACTGACATTACCTTAAACACAGTGACTGCTGCCACGTAAACAGAGCTCACAATAAAAAGTAGCTAACATAAGACTTTTGCTTATAGATTTGAACCCATCGTTAAACAAAACCGCATTTGTGTGTGGCATTTTGGGAATAAATCTATGTCTAAGTCACATGGAGCAGCTTCACATGTGCTTCAAACAC